GATGTAGTTTCCGGAGAGTTGGGTAATTTACCGAACGACCAAAAAGATTTCGGGTAATGAGCAGGTGTCCCAGAAATTATGATAATAGCTGTAAGTTCATTCATTTTCTATTCGGAACTTTTCGGAACTTTTCGGAACTTTTCGGAACTTTTCGGAACTTACTGTCTGCCACCCAAATTACAAGTTAACGTACTCCCAACAACCAATCATATTTTATTCACGTGATTTATGCTTTTTTTTGCTCGATTATGCGAAGCATATATGAGATACGAAAAATTAGTAAATTATGCGCATATTATGCTTTCGCATAATCCTGGACACCCTAGCCCGTAGTTTTCCGCTTTATCATTAGGTTACTATAAAAATCACGTGGCAAAGCCACGTATATTGTTCCCTACGAATACGTAATCAGTTTTCATTACAACTTAACTGATAACATTTTTATCCGTAATGTCTGACGTAAGCACTGTTCGTTTTTCGTATATATTATTCGATTTTTCTAATCATTCAACTCTTTATTTTCGCTTACTTTCACTTTCGCTCACCATTTTTTTCTTTTTATCATTGTTTCCTTTTTTTCCTTCGCTCAATTTTTTTTTTAACTTTCATATTACGAGTTTGATACAGGTTTCATAGCTTCCTATGCAAGAAGAAATAAAAATCAGAAAAGTGATCAAAAAATCGAATTATCACACATAATTATTCACATATCGGAGTATTAATCAATTTTATAGTTCTCCGATAGTGAAGTGGTGGGAGAGAAATTAGGGCACCCCAACAATGATGAGCTATATATCATTAGACCTAAGGTTTACAAATTAGCTGGACCCATGTATAAATAATTTTTTTAAAGTTACATACAATTAGGTCTACGATATGTAAACTCCGGGTTTATTCTAATAGTGTCTTTTCTAATTTCATATTGATAAAAATCTTAGACGAGTATCCCATTCTTGGCTTATTTTGAAAATTTGAAAATTTGTATTACTTCGGGAAGGAATGCAAGTTTTGTAAATCTATCGCTAAGACACTAATTTTCTGATTTTAAAATGGATAACAGTACATAGTTATTACAGATACAAGTAATTCTTGTACCTGGTAAGTTACTGATAGGTTTAAACTCAACATAGTTTTATAATGCCTTATGATTTAACTGATTCGAGAGTTAATTAAAGAACTTGCATTTTCAAGAAACTTTTAAAAATTAAAAGACTACATGAAATTTTAGTCTATTAATTTAGATTAACGCCCGATCGAAAGCGGCAAATTTAATTGGATTGATCAATTATCACGTGTAAATCTACCAATCCATCCAAATTCTACGATAACGATAAATTCTGATTTGCCAATCAAATTTTGTAAATGTTAGCCAATCGGAATGAAAGCGAATTGCTAAGATCAAATGCAGATATCGATATAAATTTTTATCAATTTTTTGATTGTGCAAGAAAATGGCTTCTCCTCGTGACCAGCTACTCATAACTTTATCTGAAGCGGCTTCGCAACAACCTGAACAAATAAAGGCTGCTGAGGAGCGACTTAAGCAATGGGAGATTGCGCCAGAGTTCTATTCCACTCTGTTGGTGAGTCTCGAGGAAATTTAATTGAGACGTGTTTTATTTTTATTTTTTATACAAATGAGACTCGAAAAGAACTAGGTATAAATACTCTTGTTAATTTGTTTCTCATTAGTAATATAGATTTATCGGATATTTTCTCGTTAATCTTTTTTATTAATACAAAAAATGAAGCAAAATTTTTATGAAAGAATATTTTTCACAATAGTATTTATTTGCTTATGTATTATATAGATATAATGAATTAATAAACTTACTATCTTTGAATTTTTGAAAATAAAATTGATCTAAAATATCTTCTAATTATATACGTATTCGTCAAAAATGTCCAAAAATTTTTTGTCGGTTTTTTATTTTATTGATTTGCAATGTCTTTTTTCTTTACAATTATTAGGATATTATCTTTGACAGATCAATTGATGTTAATATCAGGTTTCTTGGAGCAATATTTTTCAAGAATGGTGTGGATCGATATTGGCGTAAAACTTCAAAACAGTAAATTTTATGTCAATGCATAATATATATTCATATATTCACACAATATATAAAATATTTGAGGCCTAAGAAATGTGTGATTTTTCTACTATAGTGCCATCAATCCTGATGAAAAGGTCAAGATAAGGAATCGGCTTCTATCATTTATAGACGAAGCACACAATCAGGTTAGTATTAGCCATTATTCAATCATAATAAATGGTAAAAAAAAAAAAATAATGGAATGTTCTAAGTTGGCTTTTTTTTGAATATATTAATAACTTAGCTGGCAACGCAATGTGCTGTAATAGTCTCAAAAATTGCTCGGTTTGATTATCCGAATGAATGGTATGTATTTATTATTACTATTTCATTGTTATAATTCGATATTAAGGCTTTTATACATTTAGGCCAGAGTTGCTTCAAAATTTATTATCAATTATCCATTCGACAATAACCACCATTTCAGATTCTCGGACGATCTTAATACAAAAAAGGGCGTTACTTACCTTGCATTTAGTTGTCAAGGCTTTGTGCTCGAAGACAATGGGGCCAGATCGAAAAATGTTGCAAGAGGTTTTTGTTATAATATTACTTCTATATATGGTAATTATCCTAAATCTTATATGTAATGACTTCGTTTCATAAAAACAAAGATTGCACCAGAATTGCTTCGCAATGTTGCTGGGATTTACGTAGAGCATACCAATCGTTTTTTCACTTTGGTTTCTTCTTCTAAAGATATTGGTGATGTTGTTGATCTGGAAACTTCTTTGTCGGCCTTGAAATGCATACGACGTCTGGTAGTTTATGGATTTAAAGATATTAGCAAAGTTGATGAAACGAAGGTAAGAAATGGTTATAAAGGTTGCTTTTGTTTTATTCTTATGGGTGATTTTATTTTCTCACAATTTTTACTGATTATAATATGAAGACATTTTTCCTTTTGGTATTGGAACACCTGCAAAAGTTCCATGCTTTGAGTACATTGTTTTCTTATAATGTGGTTGACTTTTCAGCTTAATACAAAAAGCTAAAACATCTTTGCATTATAAATATGTTTATAGGGAACGCATTTCAAAATTCTGCGTCTCCAAGTTTAGAGCTTATTGATGCACATATCACACTGATGGGAAAATTTTATATTGAACTGTTAAAAACACATCCTATTTCTTTTATAATGACGCCAGGGTCTGTAGATGTTATTCAATATTACTGGAAATTACTGGTAACTTACGGAAAATCCAATGAAGGTGTGACAAATTCTACGGGGCTTTTTTTATTAAATATAATGATTCTGATAGTTTATATTCATATTTAAATGTAGATCCATCATACAAGTCTCCTGTCATAGAAAAATATCTAATACAAGCATTATTGCTCTTAAAAAGCATAATCAGGAAATCATCATATAACCATGGTCTTAGAGGTATACTATAGTATTATGCATTTTACCGATATTACCTATGTAATTAGGTTCATTTATATTAAATTTCGTCATATACATTGGGCTTTTAAAGATTCCAAAGATCAGCAAGTATCTGAAGCAATGAGGATCGTGGATGAGCAAATATTAACACCCAATTTTGTTGAGTCATGTGCTGAATTGTTGATCTCAAATTTGATTATTTTAAGAAAGGATGATTTAATAATGTGGGAAGAGGACCCAGAAGGGTGGATTAATTATGATGAGTCCGACCATTGGGAGCATCAATTACGGGTATGCTGACAGATTTAAGAACGTTATAATTGTCATTATTACTTTCGCTATTGTTTAACCCTTATCGTTTACTTTCTGTATTAAGCCTTGTGCAGAGAAAGTTTTTATGGATTTATTATCACAGTATCGGGATACATTGTCGCCAAAAATTGTTAAATTGATCGAGAACGTCGCAAGTAAGTAATCATAGCATATTTTATATTAAGTGAAGATGATGATACCGCATATTCACGACGGTCTTATTAGACTATCAATGTCAAGGATTAAATTATAGCATATCTGACTTTACTTTCTATAAAAAGTTAACATTAGAACATATAATCATTTTTACTGATTTCCATTTCCATAATACTCCCAGGTCGTAAGTTTTTGTTCTTATTAAGAATATGGGTCGGATGTATCAAAGAGATATTTATTATATTTCATAATCATGATGGTCTTATTCTGTATTGCACTAAATCAACACAATGTTGGAATTGACATTAAGGTAGGTGGCACGGTATCCCTTTGACCGGAAAATAATTATGCATATGATTGATTAATACAATTAATTCTGACTTATTAGTTATCGTATTATGTTATTATGTACTGCCCATATATTAGGGGCATGCCTAATACATCTTAAGGCATAATAAGAGAGGAATGCCTCAGTTAGGGCACGCTTTAAAATTTTACCGTGTCACCTAACCTAATTGACATGTAGAAATTATTTTTGCCATAACAAAAAAAAAAAAAAAGAGAAAAGGGAATTGTTGATAATTTTTATAATTCCATTGATTTTATAGAATCCCAAACATGTGATCTGATGCTCAAAGACGCAGTATACTGTGCAGTAGGCCTTGGAGCTCACGAATTATACGATGAACTTGATTTCGACTCATGGCTCGTGAACAACCTTTTAATTGAAGTTGCAAATAATAATCCAAAGTACGTATCTTTGCAACTTATTCTATCATTAAATAAAAGCTCATATCTGGCATGACATTTGTATCCAGCTTTAAAATTATCCGTCGCCGCATCGCATGGGTGATTGGAAGATGGGTATGCGTCAAAGTGTCAAAAGAAAATCGACCAAAAGTGTACGATGCAATGACATATTTAATAAACCCTGAAGAAGATTTGATCGTTAGGATGACTGCCGCAATTAATTTGGGAAATTATATCCTTTTTTTTTTTTCTATTTCTTCTTCTTATTTGTGTACATTCATTCTTAATTTGAATACGTGTGGATGAATGGGATTTTGATTCCGAGGGATTTGTACCATACCTTGATCGAGCGGTCACATTGTTAACGCGCTTGATTGGAGACGTGGAACAGTTTGAAAGTCGAATGAGAATTTTGAATTGTTTATCTCTTATAGTAGAAAGAATGGAAGAGCTGGTAATAATATTTATCAAAAGCTTATTTTAAGATTAGCCACATTGATTTAATGTTACCCGTTGGTTGCCAATAATATTTAGATCGCCCCTTTTGCGGAGAAGATAACAAATTTATTACCGCCTTTGTGGCAGGCTGCTCATGATGAACATTTGTTTAAACCGGCTATTCTTTTGATATTGACCAAACTTGTTCAGGTTAGGTTAGTTTAACATAAATTTACAAGTTCTCATATTTGCATTAAACAAATGCGTATATTTTTATAGGCTTTGAGAGTAGAATCTGTTAATCTTCACGAATTCATAATACCGATAATTCAATATAGTGTGGATCCAAGCACTGTGAGTGCAATATTAATTACATGTTAAAATTAATATGATGTTTTGGACGAGTCAATAGAAATCAAGCAAACTTTTTATAAAATTTTCTTAAACTGATAACGAGTACCTAATCAAATTTGTTAAAAATTTTTTAAATAAATTCTACAAACTCAGAATTTAGAAAATGATCATTAAATTTAATTGAGTTTTTGTTGAATTGTTTTGTTTTGTTTAAAATAATTTATTAAAAAAACTTATGTTTCTATTGACTCACCCAAGTTTTTTTCATAATAAGTTCATCATAAATTCATGTAAGCTCTTCATTTTTATATCCAGGATGAATATGTTTATCTTTTGGAAGAAGCATTGGATCTTTGGTTGGCTATACTCGAAAATTCAATGGAGTGTACGCCACTCATGTTTAGTCTTGTCCCTGCAGTTATAGGATTAATAGAATATGGAACTGAAAATTTCAAAAAAGTTCTAAAGATACTTGAAAGTTACATAGTATTAGTACCAGAGATGATTGCACAGGTTAGTAATGTTTAAACAGTTCATTTCAACAATTCATTTTATATTAATTATATTTTATTTTGTACTGCAGTCATATTGTCATCCAATTATGGATGCTTTCACTCGATTGTTGGGAGATTTGAATTCTGAAGCTTGTCGTGCGATAATCCAGGTTATCGATATCATGTTGCAAACATGCCCTTTTCAAACATTAAGTGAAACTATGATCATTACAGGCCTTTTATGGAAGCTGCTCAACTCTATCTTGTCTGGTAGTGAGGTGTATATTCTTAATAATGTTATATATTTTATTTTTGCTTAAATAGTTGTTTAATTATTGTATTATTTGTCAATAGGAATACCCATATGTCATTGTTAGCTATATTTCAATACTAGCTAGGATAGTTATTATTGAGCCACAATTTTTCATACAGTATGTAACGATTGCTAATCAACAATACAATTTGCCACAAATCAATTTGATTGAAAAGGTGTTGGAAGTGTGGCTAGATAAGGTAAATGAAAGATTAATGATTCAAATTTATTCAAAAATTTATTAACCACATTTTTATTTTAAAAAATATGACTCAACACAGTTTGACAATATAGGGCATCCAAAGCAAAGGAAATTGAATGCCATGGCATTTGCAACAATAATTACCACGACAAATCCAACAATCTTGGGATATTTACAACAATTTATTGGCATCTGGTGTGATGTACTTAGTGAAATCAGAGAGTCTGGTGGTGGAGAGTAAATATCATTATTTTTTTTGTAACAATTGATGCAAAATATTAAGTATATAATTGTAAGTAATCTATTAAACTTTCGTTTTTTAAAGTACTTTAGTTTATTGGCAAGAAGAATATTCGATAGAAAGTGATGAACATGATGACACGCCAGAAACAAAAAGAAGACGTGCGGTAAGCTATTTCCCTTTTTTGAAAGGATTAAATTTAACAAACAATTTAGTGATGATTGTATTCTTTGATTGTATTTAATTTGGGTTAAAATTTTATTTATAGCTTTTACAGAGAGATCCAATTCATACAACAAATCTTATTCGATATATTCGTACGAAGATAGCGGAGTGTGAAGCAATTAATGGCGGGTCACAATTATTTAATCAAAATTACATTAGAACTGTGGATAGCACGTTATTGGGTCAACTAAGTGGCCTGATGAACTCTAATTAAATGATTGATTAAGCATACTAAACTTGTAATTCATTTTATAAACGACGGCTTTGTATATCTTTAATATCGGAGTTTGCAATTGTTTTAATGTTTTTGCATGTCAAATAACATTGATGGATGTTATTTTTTTAGATATAAAAAAATCGTTTGGTCATTTGTGCTACATCAATGATATTCTATGGCATATAGTTTTATTCAATAAAAAACAGAAAAAGTAGCTTATTTTTAATAAAACTGATTAATGAATAGTCCTATTTCATATCCATAGAAAGACTTTCGTATGATTGGCTGTTTAAGTCTACATTATTTATACAGTTTAAAGTACTTTTTAAAAAAATCAAACTACTAAGAATAAATAAAAAAGAAGTATATTAAAAGTTTTATTAGGTTGTAGGACTCCAACATTAAAATCATTTTTGGTTTTAGAGAAGTTAACATAATAGCGACTTTTTAAAGATAGATAGAATTAGGTTATTACCATGCTAACTTCTCTAAAACAAAAAGTGATTTTGATTATTTTTAATAGTGGAGTCCTACAACCCTATTAAACCTTTCTATATACTTCTTTTTTTGTTTATTCTTCGTATATAGTTTGATTTTTTTAAAAAGTACTTTAAACTGTATAAATAATGTAAAATTAAATAGACTTAAACAGCCAATCATACGAAAGTCTTCCTATGGATTTCATATACAAAAATTTGAGATATTTTTTAAATAAATTTCTACTTTCCTTTTTTGAGTTTGTACCCCTCGCACAAGTATTTCTTCACAAGGTCTTAAAATGTCTTCGAAGCATTCAACTTATTCCACGCGCAACATTAGATACTTACGCATATCGGAGAAGCAGGTGTTACCATTAATACTTTATCTAAAGCCAGAACATATTAATTGGTTCAATGATATTATATTTCAAGTAAGTCACGAGATAGTATCGAGATAGTATCGAGATAGTATCGTGTTTAACTTTCTATTCATGACAATTAAATGATTTGTCACATATAGGAAGTTTTATCAGCATTACAAAAATTAATACCAAAAAAGTTTTCCCGGGAAAAGAAGAAATTTGGGTCTGATATTTATCGTGAAGGCAAGTTTGCTAATATTTTGCTTTTGTATAATCGTAAAATATAATTGCATATTTGACGAGATCTATTTTGAATAGCAAGGTTTCAGTTTGCGTATTATTTCAAAAATACCGATGTGAGACATTCTGTGCTGGAGAAGGTTGTTACTTTGAGTTGTTCAAGCCTTCAGCATCTATTCGAGATTTAATGATTTTGTTTATTTGAATTCTCTTTTAGAATAAAAAATATGTGTTTCCATCTGAAAAGTCAACATTATCCGAAGAGGATGAATCCTCTCAAAATTTACATGATAGCTTTACAAATGAAAAAGAGGAAGACGAAAAACCTACTTTACAAGTAACTTATCAAGGATTCAATATATTTTATAAATCGTTAATAGTTATAGTGGAACCACCAGGACAAATCATTGAGTTTGGAGACAATGTAAAAGTTGCTAGTGCTATGACCATTGATGATTATCTCGGGCAAGATGATTCCGAAACAGATGTTGGATCTAATGGTTCTAATCATGATTAAAAAGACCGTACTGTAGATTCTCCTAGTTGAAAAATGCATGTAGTAGCTAATGCTAAAACTTTAATCTCTTTTATATATAAAGTTTTTTACAGCATATTTTGGTAGTTGCTAAAAAAGTTAAATTTGCAAAGGATATAAATAGTAAATTTAGAATATTAAAAATCAAAATTTAAATTATATTAAATATTACTACTAAGGCTATAAAATTTACAGTAATATTATGATTTTTATAAAATTGGTTTTTTTTTTATATATATTATGAGATCATGTCTTTGGTTTTTATTAACATATTAAACTCGCGTAGACTTAGCTACGGGTCACATACATTAACTTTTACATAGAGCTATAGAGATTTAGACTAATTTATTTACAATCTAAACCTTTATAAAATTGATTTTAAAAATCTATTTGGTTGTTAAAATATATAAAAATTTTTTTACAAGTTTTTAAATTTTGATTTAGCTAGATTATAAAAATTAATTAATTTTGTATAGTCTAATTTAAAATAAAAATTAAATTTTAAAATAAGATTATACAAAATTAATTAATTGGTTTTCATAATCTAGCTAGATCAAATTTTAAAAACTTGTAAAAAAAATTTTTTTTGTATATTTTAATAACTGGGTGGGTTTTTAAAAAAATTTTTTACAAAAATTTTATAAAATTTATATATGAAAATTTAAAAAAAAAGTCTACTAGCTAGGCTTGTTTAAAAGGTTTATGTTATGAAAACCAAGATATTAAATTTATATAGTCTAATATCTATAACTATATGGGATCTTTGCTAGAAAAATCACCCTTCGATATTTTCCGATCAGGCTATTTTGGAACATTTTAAACCAACGTACCGGTTCTTATTTACATGTAAATCATGATTTGCTCTTATTGATTCAATAGCTTATCAAATGAACGTTTGAACCAATAATGGCAAAATTGATTTATATACAAGTAATTACTGGTAATATTATTTTGAATTTCTCAAATTTACCCGATCGGAAAATGTCGAAGAGTGATTTTTCTAGCAAAGATTCTATATACTAAAAATATTTGTGTATAATGATAATGTTTAGAGTATCCTATTTATACTGTGTAATGATAACATTTAGACTATCTATATAAATAATTGATTCAATTGATTCAATTGTATAACTGTCAAAAACCAATGTTTTAAACTTTAAAAAAAATTTTAATAAGATAACCTTTCTTGGACCTCTAATTAAAGTTGTAGAAAAGATTTTTTTAGTTTTAATGATATTTAGATTATCAAAATCGGCTTGGTGAATCCCAAGATATTTGGGTTTAAAGGTGCAAACATAAGGATCTACAAATTGGTAGTTATACAAAATCTTATAGTTTATAATACTATATTCTTATCTTTAATTTCAATTAGAAGGCCAAGAAAGATTATCTTATTGAAAAACTTCTTTAAATCTTAATTATATATAATATATATATTTTTTT